CGCCAGTTTCAAGTCGGCGATCTGGTCCTACGTAAAGCTGGGTTAACTAACACTTATTCACACATGGGCAAGCTCGCTCCTAATTGGGAAGGCCCCTATATGGTTGTTCAAGTTAAACGACCTGGCTCTTATGTGTTAGCAGATATATAGGGACGTCAGTTGCCTTACATTTGGAACATACAGAATCTTAGAAAATTTTACAGTTAACCTGTATACTATTCTTTTATTCAAGTTGTTATTCGACAGTTGTAAACAATGATATACAGAAAATACAACAAAAATTCAAAGGGAAACTCATTTTTGTATTTCATCAAAGATGTTTACATTGAAGGTACATATGATATGAATCCATTGATCAAATACAAAAATGCAAAAGCGAAATACAAAAGATCAAAAGAAAAAACCCTAAATCTAGTCATCCGTCAGATCGACGGGCATGGATGCATCAGCAACAGCTGCAGGAGAGCGAGCTGGAGGAGACCGGGCTGCGGGCTCAGAGGCTGGTGCGTTGACGGGCGAGCTGGCTGGCACCACAGCGGGCTGAGAGTTAGGCGGGGTGCTTGAAGGCTCCTGCTCAGCTACAGGAGCACCCTCTACCCATGCGTCAAAGGAGGGTAGCCCTGTTGGATCCTCCCCGTCCTCAAGGACCTGAGGAGGCCAAACAGGCACTCCCTCCTCGTTGAGGTCCCACCTCAACCGCACCGTGGCGTCGACAAGGGGAGCGAGACTCTTCCCCTGCTCGTCCAGGTCCTCCCCGTCAAAGAACGCAAGCTTGCCAATCGGGAAGTCTGGGTGGTGTTGCAGCACCTTCCCACGGATCTCGTTGTAGATCTTCATGGTTACATTTGCAGACGCCACCGCCACGGCGTCCTGAAATGTAGCCGAGCCCACGAACCATTCCGCCCCTTGAGCTCGGGTGATGCTGACAGAGCGTGCATGGGAAGTCTTCAGCTCGTTCAGCGCCTCCCCGGCAGTAGTAAGGTTCCGGTCGGCCTCGGCGACCTAGTGCCTAAGGGAGCTCAGCTCGTGCTGAGCGCGGTCCCTGTCGGCCTCAGCCTTCTTGGCCCGTTCCTCAACCCGGGCGGCTTCCTTCCTAGTTGCCTGGATCCCGCTCTCTCTTTCAGCACGGGCGCGCTCCAATTCCTCCCTGAGCTCGTTGTTTTTGTTGGCAAGCTCATCCGCCCGGCTCTCTGCAGCCGCAGCTCGGTTCGCCATTTCAGAGCCTTGCAGACGATTCACATCGTCCACAAGGCTAGCCTTCTCAGCAGCCAGCTGTTTGCATTTTGAACCGAGCTCGCTGTTCTGTGTACGAGCCTCCTGCTCGCTCTCGTAGAGCGCTACAGCGTAGCTGAATGCCTGCCAAACAGCAACAAACGTAAGTACCTAGTAAGGAAAAATAAAACACTTAAGCAAGTACGAGTAAATACTTACATCCATCAGTTTGATCATGGCGACCTGGCCGCCATGCTGCTGCACAAAAGCTTTTGCCCGCCGACTATCCGCCGGGGGCACAAAACTGTGCATGCCTTGCACCATGGCGGGCTGGCACTCCGCCCGCACATAGTGAAGCCCTAAGGATAAGCAATCCTGGGGCCCGACATCGAAGCCGATGCAGAGGCGGGCTCTACTGTCGCCCGCGCAGTCGCTGACGGTGCGTTGGGTGAACGCACGATTGCAGGACGGGCCGCCTGCGCGGGCTGAGTCCCCCCGCTTGTTCTGCGCCGAGCAAGGGGGACCCCATCTTCCTCGCTCTCCGTCTCCTCGCGTGCACGTCTACGTGCACTCGGGGCCGCAGCCTTAGCTCTATGTTCAGCCTGCGGCCTAGATGCCGAGCTGGACCCTCGATGGGACGAGCTGCGCGATTGAGGCGCGGTCGGCGGTCGCTCATCGAACCGCGTCTGTCTCTGTGAGGTGCTGCCCGGCCCGCGACCTCGTGAGCTCTGTGCTCGTTGACGTTGGCGTTCGAGAAGGCTGCTCATCTCTCCTGCACAAACAAATATATAAGACTCAGCCCGGCTAATATTCAAGATAGATGATAAAAATATACCTTCTATGAACAGGTTTGCCACGTCGACAAACCCGAACACGGCGAGCTGCTCCGAGGTAACCAGGGCGTCTAGATCTATTAGATTCTCCCTCCTCGCATAGTCCAGCAGCTGATTTTTGAGGTCTGTGTCCCGTGGCAGTAATTGAGGGTAGTTGACGTGTGCATTGGGCACACGCCACTCAGATAGCCGGGCAGCAAGGTCGTTGCTTATCCTCTCTGTTCGCGTGTCGCGAACAAATATGAATTGCCTCTTCCACCTCGCCACTTTGTTCCGAACATTCTTGAACAACTGGCTCTTGTTTCTCCCGGAGAGGTAGTACCACTTCGCGCCTCGGGAGTTGGGACACAACCGGCATTGAAACAGCGACCTGAACACGATCGCCTTGGCCGGTACCTCCAACCTCGCACACAACGGCATAAAGCCTATTATGAACCTTATGATGTTGGGCGTCAGCTGCGTCAGAGCGAGCTCGTAGTCCGCCAGCAAGTCGAATACCAAGCCGGGCAGGGGGAATCACAGGCCGGCCTCAAAGTGATCCATGTATACGGGTATCCAGCTCGTCTGTGATACCGTGCACGCCCTCTCGCTCTTGGCTCCAGTCCGGAGCAGGATTGTTCTGGGGATGTGGTGCGCCCTCACCATCTCCTCCAATCTCCTATATCCACTTATTGAGGGCGCACAATCCGCCACTTCATGATGTAGGGCGGCCCGGAACCTAAATCCAGCGGGCAGATCCTTGGGCGCCTTTCGCAGATTGCTCAGCCTGCCCGTGACTGTCCTGCTCTCCCACTCTCCAATCACAAGCTGATCTGAGACATGGCTCACCACATCCCCCGTCTCCTCCTCGCGGTGGGATGTCTCCTCAGACGAGCTGCTCGGCGATGCAGTAGGGTGGTCGCCACCGTTGTCCCTAACGCTGGAACTGGCACTGCTCTCAGACGCCATGGTTTTCGGCACATCCTGCAACTCCGGCGGCACTATCATCGTGATAGGCTTCATTGATAAAACCCCCTCCTCTTCTCCGTCTCTGCCCTGGTTACCTCATAGCTCTGAAAGTTCTCTCAACGAAACCATTTTACCTGAAAATGACATGAAGTTGGTTCGGTGTTTTGTTCTTCAAGAATGGAGTGTCTCGCTTCAGAGAATTTCAGAAAATCTCAAGCAAACAAAGAAATGAAAATGGAAAAGTGAACGGTTACGTAAAGCATAAGCGTGAAGTTGCTGTGTTAATTGCCGTACGCGTGTCTCTGACGCGCCAGTTAGCGTCTTACGCGTGGCAGACGCATAAGCCCCTCTCGTATAGCATGCGCCGGTTTTAGCTGTTGTATCCCCTTAAATGCCGAGCCAGCATTTATGACGGGGAAGGCAGAGAGATACAGGGAGATCAATCGTATATCTCCTCAGAGATTTGGTGGATTTTCAAAATCCACAAGATTCAGATCGTAACGGCTGATATGTAGCCTATCACGTCACATCAGCTCGCCGTTGCGAGCACACTTACTAGGTCGTCACACATATGACGTATTTGCCAGGTCGGCTTAACCGTGACAAGTCGTTCACAATTGTAGATCGTTTACTAAAATCCCCCAAGATTTAGCTCGTCACAGATCGTGGCGACAACCGCATTTATCAGGTCGTTACACGGGTTGCAGCTCATGACGGGTCACAGACCTTTTCACAGACCAAGGGGTACCTGAGGTCGCCCTATTTAACAGTACTACCCGTGTTGCCTCAAGAAATCTCAGGTCGCACTACGGGCGAGGCCGCGTTGCCTCAGCTCGCGATCATGGCAACTAAGCATCATGTGGTCGCACTCCGGTAGTAATCACGGGTCAGGTCGCCACACACCCTCCGGCGCTCACGTTAGCGTGGACGAGCTCGCTGAAATGGTGTTACGTACATGGCCGCTCCATGGGCGAGCTCATTTGTGGTGAACCATTTCAGCTTGCCGCCATAACAAGCACACACCAGTGTGGCTATGGATATCAGCTCGTCTCCATGCTTTCAGGCTCCCGAGCTCGTCTCTTTTCGTATTACCTTTCAGCTCGGCCATTGTCGAGGTCGGCCGCTAGCTGTTAAAGTTGTCCGTCATAGTCACCAGCTAGAACATTGACCCATGGTCACATCCATCCCAGTTCGTCAACCGAACACCGGGGGGGAGTAATGTTGGAATAGGCCCAACACCCAAACAGGGCTGTGCATAGGCCCAACAGGCCCAACACCCAAACAGGGCTGTACATAACGGGCCTAGGTTACCACCCATTAGCCCAAGCTGAAGGAGCATCAGTACAAGCATCAGTACAAGCATCAGTACAAGCATACCCACGTGACCAGTGCCACGTGGGCCAATGGGGTGCTCACAAGTGCAGATGTATGTCAGCACTAAGGGGTTATAAATACCCCCAACTACCTCTGATGAAGGTAATTAATCTCTACGCCTCTCTCTCTGCAATTACTCCTTGAGAGCATCTCTCTCTAGAATATTGAGTATTGCTGACATGAGCGTCGAAGTGTTTTCCCCGAGGAAACAACCTCGGGATTTTCAGGTGTAGAAGCAGTTAAAGATTTCAACAGTGTGGGACCACGAAGCTACCCAAACAATACCATAAATTGAGAAGAAGTCAAAGAGGGCGATGAGAACTCAGCATCATTTCTTCTCCAGAGGGCTGGAAATTTTACTTTTTCAAAGTAAAATCCGTAGAAGCGAGGTAGGAAGCGGAAAGGGAAAAAGGAAATGGGGAGGAACCAAAGACGGTGGAGAGAGATGGAAGAGGAATTTTCTGAATTATTATGATAGGAAGTCGTATTTTACTTTTATATTGACAACAAAAAAAGTTATTTAGAACAGAAAATGTTTTCTTCTGATAAGCATTATTACTCCTAGTCTGGAATTTGATTTAAAAAGACAAAAAATACTCATTAATCTATACAGGTAAAAATACTTATTACCCGAATTAATATATTTAAGTGTAGTCTGTCTTTAAAAAAAGTTATTTAAAAAAATATAGTTGTACATTAGTATAATTATTTTGATATTCTAAAGGCTAGAAAAAACACAATTTAACAAAAGTTATAAAACATATGATAAAAAAAAAAAAAAAACTCAGTTACAAAAGTTAAACTCATTCATTTTAACTTTAGAATTTGTTGTTGCAAGTGGGAGATTGGAAAAGGAAGATACATAT